CTCTCCCCTCTCTCTCTCTTCCTCCCCTTCAACCCCCCCCAGCCCCTCTCAGCAGCCCGAGTCACTGGCCCTCGCACCCTTGTGGAGACCCTCTTCTCTTCCTTCTCTCGCTTCTTTCCCTTCTGCCCCTCACGACTCGTCTCCCCTCTCCTCTCATTCAAACTTAAGATATGACGGCTGCTGTAAAACCATGGTTTGGGTCGCTGCACTGCAGTAGCAAGAGCTTCCGATAACTGGAAATAGCTGTTTACAGTTTTTATTGCAAGATAGTTTGATGTAGAAGTTCTAGTCTGCGAATTTTAAGCACACTGTGTTGTGGGCTTAATGTTCTTTCAAAACGCGTTCACTCCACTATCTTTCTTTGGAAGATTTTTTCGACTAATAAATAATGAACAATCGCCCACAACGCACCACGCATAGCATCTCGTTGTATCACATTTAGCAACATCCTCGCTCATCGCATCGCAAATCTCACATCTCCTGATATCGAACTCGCGATCGCGTCTCGCACCGGCGTCGCTTCCACATCTCAAAAAAAAAAAAAAGGATTGTTTCATCCTTCCGGACCTGGTAGGCCCAGGCTGAACCTTATGCGTCTCCTTACGTCATTATAGTGTATAGTAACTTGAAACCTTTCGTGAAATAACAGATAGTCGATGCAGATAGTGAGGTCCAGGAGAGGCACTTTGTCCACTTTGTATACCTTCTCGACCCCCATCAGAACCTCCTCCCAGGCCCTGGCCTTACCTCAACCGTATAGGCGCGTTTGTTTTGATGTGGTTGATAATGACAGCGTTTACTCTTCTGATGCGAATTGTGGTGGTGCGGCTGTCTAGTAGTGCACTCCCATTTGCTCTATTATCCTGCGACCACCAATCTGTTTTTGTTGGCCGGGGTGCTAGGGGCGGGGTCCCGGGTCGCCACAGCCCAACCATTTTCGTGAAACATTTCACATGAACAGTGCGGTTCTTTTATCGGCACTCCCAGCATAAGCCTACTTATTTTAAAGACCGTTCTGTAACACAGCGCGCGGTCAGCTTCTTAACCAGGGCAGCTGGATGCTACTGGCACATTAATTTTTTCATGGGAATTCGTCGCTT